GTCAAAACAACCATGTTTTACTTTATTTGGTAATCAAAAGGCCTCAGTGTTTCAAATATCTCATCAAATTACCATAAAAATCATTCTTTTTCATTTTATTCTGGAAAAGCTTCACATAGTTGCACCGAAATTCACGCTGGAAAAACAAACAGTGTGTCAAGTCTTCTTAATACTGTATATGCTTGCAATCTGCAGTATAAATCTGCAGAGTATAAAAATATAATTTATCCTGTAATTTGATTCATGCAAAGCCAACAGCAGCAGTATAGTTGCTTAATGGCATTGGACATGTTATGCAACAACTAGATTTAAACCTCCACATCATTCAGAAAACATGTTAAAGTTCAAAAACTGATGCAGGAGAATTACACTAGCAATGCCAATTGACACACTTATAGCTGTGCAGCACATTTCCTAAATCGTTGCTGTTTTTATCCGTACTAGATTTACCCACTCGGATGACCTAATTTCTTTGCAGCAGATCTAAATGACTCAATTACAAGACAGATAGATGTTATTTTTTGTTATCTCTTCCACCCCTGTAGATTTAATTATAAAGTCATCTCAAAACACACTAATGTATAGTGGAAAGTGACAGAATATCACAGACACAGAACTGTGGAGCCAGACTTCATTGAAATAATCACAAACTGCTGTGCTGGTGACCCACAAAGTAAAATAAACAGAGAAACTTCAAACCCGTATTGTAGTGGGTTTTGGGCAGCGCTGTGCATGGAAGGGGTGACACAGTGAATTTAATCTACAGAGACAAAAAGACAGTCATCAGATGTCTTGCAGTGATATTTGGATGTAGCGCTGGCACCCCGAGTAAGGGCAGTCTGTTCTCACATGCTTCGCCAAATACACACAACTGCAGCCTCCAAGCAGGTCAGTGACAATGCCAAAGAGAAGTGGCTTTTAACATTTATTTCACACTTGGACCCTAAAAGGCAGCAGATGAAATCCATCTGAGAGATTTGCAGTTATCCAAAACGTGATTTGTTTGGTTTTCCACCTTCCCTTAGCAGTTTCAGGAAACCCCCGTTTATTCCTATTCTTTTGGTTCTTGTGATTTATTGCTGGGTGGCCTCCCCTTCTTTAGAATCTCAACTTTCATTTAAACCGAGGATTGCAGTCATTTCTGTGTTGTTCTGTGTTTGGTTCAAATGGCAGGATAATTGGGATGATTTCTGACCCAATTATCCACCTTTGAACAATCTTAAGGATGTTCCCAATAACCGTAAAGGCTCCAAATATAATCTTATCAGAAATTCCTGCCATGTGTGGTTTGTTAAGAGAGGTCTGACCTGCTCAGAAGCACCACTACAATCATAAATCCAGGCTTTAGAACATGTTGGATTGTCTTGGTCCAATTTTTGAGGACAAACAAGTGCTGTCTCTTGAAATGTGCCGTTAAGCCAATCAGAACGTGAGGTGATGGAAGAACGCTGCACGCTCCTCTTCCGCTATGTTTGCATACGCATGAGACTTCCTGTTTGTCTGAGTAATGTTATTGTGTGAATTTGTTTTTGGTGTAGTACATAGTTTTAACTGTGTCACCAGACCAAACACATTGTAGGACCAAAACTGGTATAGACATGATTTTTATCGACATTTGTGGGGTGTGTCATTGTTATGACTTCACCTAGGATCCGGGCAAAGTAAAATAAAAGAAGGTAAACAAAGGACTGGGGTAGGGTTGTCACGATACTAAAATTTCAAACTCGATTAGATACTTGGAAAAAAAAACTCGATACTCGATTTCGATACTATTTAAAAACACCCATTTATCGAACAAGTTTATTCAAAAAATAACATTCCTCAATTTATATTACAAAAATTAAATGTTAAGAATTAAGTGTATTAAGTGCTTAAACCTTTCAAGTATCAGCATTTTTTAAAACGTGCATACAAAAACTGGTGAAAGTTAACACTTTAAATCATGAATTGTCTCACTATATATACACTATTTGCAGAGTGATGTTTTGCTGCTTAAACTCTGTTTAAGGTGCATTTTTGTCATAAGATGTAATGCCATATGTTTTGTTCTGTACTTTTGAACATATCTGTTGGTCAATAAAGAGAGAAAACGAATTTCTCCACAGTAGGACAAAGGTACATCTACCGATAATCTTAATAAAAACAGACTGGCGCACGGCAGTGACGTCATTAAAAGCGCCGGTTAGATTAGCCGCAGCTAGTCTGTTTACGCCTAGAAATCCCAGACCAGACACGCTCCAAACGAACAGGGGAATCACGTTAATGATTCCTAACAAAACCTTTCGACATGAAGATGTTTTGGTGCAGATAATGTCTTATTTCGAGGCTGCACCATGGGTGCCCGTCCACACCCGTTATATGGATATACGCTGACGGCGATTCGGCGATGGACCTACGGTAAATACCCCGGGGAATCCAAGTAGCACCAAAGTTGTCAGTGTGAGTAAACAAACGTACTGCATGCTAGAAATTAAGTCCGGGTTGCAATAAACGGGAGTTTCCTTTAAGCACATAAGCGTGAATATACAACTACGTATCGGACTTGGTATGCTAATTAAGTTGGGCTGTGAAGCGCCTCCCAAATTCGCTGTTTATGTTTTTGTTTATTTATTTGGCAGACAAAACTTGGATCGGAGACAACTCGCGTGGGAAATTGCTATGTAGCCATGCGGCGTCTTCTGTTTGTCTGGGAGGCGGAGGCTGCTTTACGGCATCTGGCTGCCGTGCGTGTCGGTGTACTTGAAGAAGGCTGTGTATAATAGTCCATAATATCGATACCACAGGGATGGAATATCTCATTTAGATACCACTTTTAGTATCGATTTATATCTGGGTATCGATTTTTTTGACAACACTAGACTGGGGGAAAGGAGGTGGAGGAGTTGTCGGATTGTAAAATAATAATCTCTTTTTAATAAAGTAAAAGGAGGGGATATAACCATCTCACAGGTTAATACAAGACACTAAAAGAAACTCGGGAAAACTTCCTGGAACAAAACCCAACAAAAATACACAGCTTTCTGGTTTAGCCGGAACCTCAAAAGGTTAACATGATAAGACTGGTGTTCTTCTTACCAAAGGTTCCCTTAATACTATAAACGTTTGCTAAAGTCTAAACCAAAACAAACTCAAAACCACCAGCTCAATGATCTGAATCATGTCAAACTATAACGAGAACTAACAAGCAGGGCTATACCGTTTGGCAAGTGCAGAGGATCTACCTCAGACTAAATGCACTCTCTATAGTCCTACCAGGCAAAAGTCTCAACAGGAGCGTGGAGCAGGGAGACAACTCATGGGTAGGAGTTGCTCCTTGATCTGCGGATCCCACGACATCTTTATCCACTCGGCACAGATAAGGTAATCAGTCATTATCTCCTGCAGCTGCGCTCTCAGCGCTTCGACCGGAGTTCCTGGATGACGTCACTGCAGCGAGTTCATTGAGGGGGAATCCCCGACACCATTGTCATGGAGATGAGACGCTCTTCCTGGCTCTCACCCTCTGGCAGTTTTCTTCCTTCTTGCTCCGTTGCTCCACATTGAGTATGTCATATAAAAATTAAACGAAATAAACACAAGTACCAAAGACCCCTACTAACGGGGATGTAACAGTCATGTTAGTGAAATCGGCCGACAATTTAAAAATTCCTACTGTATGAACCGGGCTCTACCCTTTCTTTACCCGTTACCCTTTCTCTTTAAAGGTGCAGTTGCAAATTTGCTAAATAGGCTATCTTAAAACATTTTTTCATGCCTTTTAACAATGTTCTAGCATAAATATATTGTGGAGATAAAAAAAACTAAAAGATTCATGAAGTGGGGAACCTCATCCAGTTGTTGATCCCACTGAACCAACAAACTTCCGCACTTCCCTGGGTCCTCCACTCCTTACGCACTCACACATTTTGCAACAGAACAACAGCTGTGAGAGTTTCGCACTCAATAATATCAGAGATGGAGAAAAAGCTAGCATCTGCCACTTCTACACAATTGGAAGTCACTGACAACAAAAGACTTGGATGTGGAAAAAGATCGGTGTTTAGCGCTCTTTTGTTTACTCTGGCATTGCAGGTTCCGGCATCAGGCGGACGTGTTCTAGGGATGATAGTCGACAGAAGACGTGAGAGTTCCATGACAGTGTTTGTGTTTAAAAGCTAGCTTATTTTGCAGATTTGATACTGAAGCTTTAACTTGCTTGTTTTAAGAGGAATAGCCCCTTAAGATGAGCCATCTTGTTTTCAAGGGGGGTCCTCGAATTCTAATGGCGATTATATTAGAACGTGCAGAATGGGGGAAAGCTCCGCACCCACCCCAAGACGTCTAGAGATTTTGAAGGGAAACACAAGCCTGCTAACATGCAAATTACTTCAGTGACTTTAATGCCTAATGACACATTTTTTTTACATTTGTGTGTTGATCTTCTTTCCAAAAAAGCAAAAACAAAATTAGAGTATAACATTTTCAAAGATTAAATCTTCTGCAATTGAATTTTGTTGTGTAATTTGTCTAAAACCTAATTAATCTGGTTGTCTGTGACCATTTTTCTTAGGATAAACAAGTGTAATTAAGGTGCCTTTTAGAAGCAAAGTGAAACTTATTAACCAACAGAAAGCCTTCAATTTGTCTCTGTCTCTGAATATATGTGAAAACCCCTTTTGTTCCACGGCTCTCTGAGTACTTTACACTGCCTGTTACCCTGGAAACCCCTTTCAGAGGTGAAGGGGAGGACAGCCAAAGTGGAGATCATCTTGGCCTAAAATTGCAGGTAAATCCTCACTAAGGCCATCCAATTTCAACAGCTTTACCATTAAAAAAAATTACTCATTTATGAGGAATGGAAGCAATCTTCAAGCCAAAATCAACTTCTATCGATCTAACAACTTTAAAACTCACGTCGTCTTCACAAATACCTTTGAGTTGAGAGTCGAATCACATATTCTCAGAGTAATCGATAACAGCATGAAATAAGAAAAAGGTAAATGTAAGAGAAAATGACTGACCTCAATGATGCAGGTCCCTGGAGCTATGTTCTCCTTGATGGACACATTGTAGAAGTTTCTCTCAAAAACGGGCTCATTGTCGTTTACATCCTGAAGTAAGATGTTTACCACGGCAGTAGAAGATAGTGGTGGTTTCCCTCCATCTGTAGCCACTACAGTTATACTTGGACTAGGAGTCTTTTCATAATCCAGCTGGGATAGAGTGGTGATGATGCCTGTGATAGAGTCTATACTGAACCAGCTGTGATGAGAACTTTGGTTTTGAAGGATGCTGTAGATGATGTCTCCATTTGGCCCCTGGTCTTTATCTCTAGCTGTTACCTGCAGCACAAAGCTGCCTGGGAAAACCACTTCAGGGATGACCTGTCTGTACACAGTCTGGTCAAAAAGAGGAGAGTTATCATTGATGTCAGTCACTTGGATGATGAAGGAGGACTCAGCCCTGAGCGGAGGTGTTCCAGAGTCTGTCGCCATCACCCTCAACTCATATGTGTCTCTCTCCTCTCGATCCAGAATCTGGTCCACACAGACAAGATATATGATGCTGTCTTTTGTTGTGAGAGCAAACTTTCCGTCCCCTCCCTCCAATGACACATTGACATTGGCATACTCTCCGTAGTCTGGGTCAGTGACTGAGATCCGAGCCACATACTGGCCTGGTTGTGCACCTTCAGAGATTCTGGGAGATCCATCCTCACTCAGAAATATGATGGTCATTGTGGGCTGATTGTCGTTGTAATCTCTGACATGTATGGTGGCAAAGGCGTTGGTCACCTCTGGGTGGGTTGCATTGTCTTGTGCCTGAACCACGAGCTCATGGACTCTCCTCTTTTCAAAGTCCAGAGGCTTGTTCAGAGTGATGATTCCAGATCGAGAATCTACGACAAAGTAACAATCTGGGTCACTCTGTCTTCTGTTGATTTGATAAAACACCATTCCATTGTCTCCTTCATCAGCATCTGTGGCAAACACCTGGAGAATGTTGCTTCCTGGTTGGAGGTTCTCAGATATGATAGCATGATAGCGGCTCTGGTTAAATACAGGAGCGTTGTCATTAATGTCTTGTACAGTAATGTCTAATGTCATCTGATCCGTTCTTTTAGGTGAACCTCCATCAAAAGCCTCTAAGGACAAGGTGTAGGTGGATCGTTTCTCTCGATCTAGAATAGCATTGACCACCAAGTCCAGAAAGAGAACCTCGCTGCTTCCCCTTCTTGTCTCTAAACTGAATGCTTGGCCAACATTTCCGTCCTTGATAAGGTAACCTTGTGTCGTAAGCTGGCCTTTATCACTATCAACGGCTGGCTCAAGAGGAAATTTAGTGCCAATTGCTGTCTGCTCTGGAATTTTAAATGTGGCTCTCTTCCTAGGAAACTTGGGTGCGTGGTCATTTATATCGTTCACTTTAATGGTCACTTCTACTGTCACGCCTGTCATGGTGACTGCAATAAAGTTATATCTATCTCTCAGTTCTCTGTCCAGAACTTTGGCTGTTCTAATTATGCCGGTGCTCTCATCAATGTCCAGATCACTGCTCACTCCTGTGCCTTCATGGTCTGAAATGAAGTATAAGGAGGAAGTGACACCAGGAGGAAGTCCTGCACTGATGTCACCCACAACCGTGCCCGCTGGTTGCTCCTCATCAAGCTGTAGCTCAAGGGTACCAAGGACAAAAGATGGATGAACTGTTAGAAGCTCCAAGGCCACATAGACCATTAACAGTATCCTTGTGCTCCGCCGACCCTCACAGTGCAAAGAATCCATTATAGACTTCACCGAACCCTTGGCAGCTGTCTTCATGTCTGCTTCTTCAGTTTAAACCTGGAAACAAACAAAAGGGAAAATCTGCATAACATCAAAACTTCACTACTCCAGGACCAATTGAAGAGTGAAGCATTTTCATGGTGACTAAAAATAGGAATGTCTGTAACACCTTCTTGTGTTTTATTGGCTCTCTTCTCCTCCAAACCACACAGAATAGCCCCAGCACATTACATTTTCCAACATGTCTTAGACAAGTCAATAAGTCAACACCTTGTTCCTTCTGAAAGTTTTGCTTTTCTATAGAAACGTCAAAACCCATGCCACGGCACAACCCCTCAGACTGGCCGTCGGGGACTGTAGCTATTCAGCTCTAATTAAAAAGGTGCAAAAATCACTTTTGCCCAGACTCTTTACATGTTCACCATAAAAGCCTTTCAAGACTGGAAAGTTACGTGCTGCATTTATTGTTAAAACTAAATTTAGTTCCCAAGGCGTTTCAAATCCTTCCACCAAGGGTGGTTCATAAATTTAACTCCCACCAACCATTTCTACTTATTATTTGAGAAATAATTGGATTTTGTTAAATTTAGGAGAAAATAACAGAGAAATCCTAGAATAAACAGCAGGCACAATTTGGCTTTAGATCTCCACCATCAGAGACAATCTGTGACTGAGAATGGGAGACACAGCGAAGCAATGTGGAAATTGTTCAGAAAGACCCTCACCATCTGTTGAATAATCCAAAACCACTAAGTCTGGCACAACAACAATTGTTGTGTCATTTGCATTAACTAGAAAGGCTAGCTCCTGATTGTGTGTGGCTCTGCCTACATTTGTGCATTTAAAATCTACTTTACTTGCTGTCAAAGTAACTTTTTCTTCAATTTTGAGTAAATTTATCCAGCTCACATTAAGTTCTGAATTACGTTTTTTTAGAGAACTTCTTTAGCCCCCCCCCCCCCCCATCTACACAAAAACATTCACTTGTGAGAGAAAGCATTTGTGTGTGTGTGTGTGTGTGTGTGTGTGTGTGTGTGTGTGTGTGTGTGTGTGTGTGTGTGTGTGTGTGTGTGTGTGTGTGTGTGTGTGTGTGTGTGTGTGTGTGTGTGTGTGTGTGTGTGTGTGTGGATCCCGTAAATCCCTCCCATGTGTCTCCAAACGCAGTGTGGTGATCTGTCTTAGCCACGGTAGTAGCAGTGTGTGTTTGAGTGACAGAGGAGCAGGCTGCAGCAGAATTGGAGGGCTCCACGCAGTCTACCTCTTTCCCTTTTTCTGGCTCTGCAGCATTATAATTGAGGTCCTCTGGAAGTTGGCCATATGCACACAAGATTCCAGCCTTAATTTCAGTCTACCATGATTCAAAGCCCACAACACGGAAGACACTGCGTTTAATGTCATATATTAGTTTGAGTTCAGCAGGGTTAAACCTATGATCACTTCTTGTTTTGAAACATTAAAGACAACAAGGTTGGTGCTTTTACTGAGCTAATATTGTTTCACAGCTTGGCAACAAAAAGGGAATTCTGGTCTAGCAATTTGACTTCTTATTTTCTTCAAAGAAACCATAAAAACTTCAAATGACAAGACCATAAAAGGCAAGCATGAGAAATACGCCATTATCTTCCATATCCTAGGTGGTTTTGTGAGTTTTGTTGCTGCCAATAAGCATCCACGACAGCCTGAAAGTCCTGATGGCACATCAACTTTGAAGTCTCAGTATTGATTTACTTTACTGCAACACTGGGGATGAACTTCAACATCCAGAGCACAAAAGGGAGCGTTTTAGGACCTAAATCTTTGACCAAATGCCACAACTGAAATAATGCACTTTCTAGTTCAGCCGCAGTGGAGGACCTCTGCAGAGCAGCACAGCTTAATGGATATAGCAGACACAGCTGGGCAAGCTAATTGCACAATACCAGGTTACTAAAAACATATGACAAAAAAAAATTCACTATATGGAGCTGAGGAAAGGATTTCTGCAATTTAGATAAAAAGTACTGAAACCGTGTCATTCAAACTGTTGGTGTGGTTGAGTGCCAGCATAAAGAATATTGTATTTATGCTTTGTTTTAAAGGGACAATAATCTGTAAAATAAACACTCTAATAATTGAAAGCTGTTGCATTCATACAGCTAATCTTGTTCTGGTTTGGATTCAAAAGTTGCCTCTTGCATCATAGATTATGCACTGTATTAGAGGCTATTAAACACTGAAAATGAGTTTAGTTATGTAACAACTAAAAGATTGATCCCATTTACCCAAAAAAGAAAATTTACTCCCTCATTGCTACAGGTTTATTTAGATTATGTACCAAAAAACTGACATTAAATCAATCTCCTCTGAACCCTTTAAGCTGATCAAATCCAACATTGTTTTAATGTAATTATGAATGCAGCAAATGTGACCCTGAGTTATTTATTTAGCTGAACTATACTGAGCAGCTGCTGAAAACATCAAGGATGTAGTTCATCCTCTGAACCACTGTCTGTACTGTGTTTAGGAAAATGGGCCCTATTATATTCAGAAAATGTATTTCCTTATTTGTACCTGACTTCTCAGTTTTGCACCACTATAAAGACAAGCAGGCCTTTGGTTTGGCAGAAACTATAAAATATAAACAAACTTCTGTCTCTTTCAATTAACGTATGTAGACTTTACTTGAAAAATGCTCTCGTAAAAATTAAAAATAATTAAAACTTTTGTAGGTATTTTAAGATGTTAGTTGTGTTAGATTTAGTTAAAAACAGAACTAAAACTTTGGTCGTCCCACTGATCAAGCTGGTCTTCTCTGATAAGGCGTATTTAGAAATGACCTAATAGCTTAAAGGTGCAATATGTAAGAATGACATCTTGTGGTCAAATTTGGGTACTGCAGTCAATTGTTATAAACTAAAGGTAACCGTTTCCCTGCTGATCCGTGAGTTTCATGGCTGTTGCCAGTTCCAGATCAGCGCCAGGAGATTCTAGATGTCAGTCTAAGACGTCTACACAGCAAGTCGATAAATAGAAAAATACATTGTTATATCTGGTGTTAGCATCCCGGGGGTGTTTACGGTAGAGAACATTTACTACACTTATTATGGTAGTATGTTAGAGGAAGTGTGGTTGTTTGCCTCTTGCTGTTATAGTTCTGAACGCCTCATAAAAGGAAGAAAAATGCCACGATTGACTTATTATTTTTACTTCATATACATTTCAAAGGAGTAGGCAGAAGTATCTACTTATTTGTCTCTACCCCCAAGTTTTACCTCTTATTAATTTAATTTTCTTTCAATCTTAAATTAAACAAACAACATATGAAAAAAATGTATATATAAAAAAATAAACAAAACAACGTAAATAGAGAATGTGTACATTTGCAGATTCACCAGTTATGGAGAAAAAAAGAAAAACCAATCAAACCAAAAATCACTGAAAAAGAACCACAGCAGCATTACCAGCGGCATTACCGCCCTGGGTTAACCCTGTTTTCTTCATTCTTATACTTATTTAAAATTAGGTTTTTATATTTTACTTTAAACTGCTTTATGGTTTTACTTTCTTTTATCTCTTCTGTTAGACTGTTCCATAATGTAACTCCTGCAATTGCAATTTACATAGTTATTAAAGTTGTTCTAGCACTTTGTATTTTTATTCCCCTCTTAAGTTATACCCACCTTCTCTTTCTTTGAACAATAAACAGATTTCTTTAGGAAGCAATTTATTTCTTACTTTATACATTATGTGCGCTGTTTTGAGCTTCACCAAGTCTTGGAATTTAATGGATTGCATTTTGACAAAGAGTTCATTTGTATGGTCCCTGTACCCCACATTATTTATTATTCTAATGGCCTTTTTCTGTATTATAGTTATCGTCTGTATGTAACTTTTGTATGTTTCACCCGGCCCTCTACACAGTAACTCATATATGGCAGTAGTAAAGCACAGTATAATACGAGCAGGGCTTTCTGATCCAACATCTTCTTTGCTTTCCCCAGGATGGCAACGACCCGTGCCAATTTCCCTCGAACATAAGTAATGTGTGGCTTCCAACAGAGCTTATGGTCAATGATCACACCAAGAAATTTTATTTCATTTACTCCTTCTAAATATACATTATCCATACAAATTTCTATTTTGATGTTTTTTCTTTTGGTTACCAAAGAACATAAATCTGGTTTTATCTAGATTTAATGATAATTTATTTATATCAAACCACTTTTTTAATACTGGTCATTCCTGTGTGAACAACTCCAAGACCTGTGGCAATTCCACACCTGAACACAGTATATTTGTGTCATCTGCAAATATTACAAATTTTAAAATTTTTGATACTCTGCAGATATCATTTACATACATAATAACACTTTTGGTGCCAGTACTGAACTTTGAGGTACTCCACAAGCTATATCCATCAAATCAGATTTGTATTCATTTATTTGTACATATTGTTTCCTATTCCCTACATAGCTTTTTAACCAGTCCCCAACGATTCCCCTAGACCCGTACCTTTCCATTTTTTTTAATAGAATTTCATGATTAACAGTATCGAATGCCTTTTTTAGGCCTAAAAAAACTCAGAGTGCATACCTCTTATTATCCATACAGTCCGTTATCTTTTCCATTAAATCTATCAATGCCAAAGCTGTTGATCTGTTGCTTCTGAACCCAAATTGGCTATCTGTCAGTAATTCATATTTTTCCACAAAACTGTCAAATCTTTTTATGAACAGTTTTTCTAGTATCTTAGAGAACTGGGAAAGTATCGACACTGGTCTATAGTTTGTAAAATGATGCCTTTCACCGGTTTTGTAAATGGGAATAACTTTAGCAACTTTCATATGTTGTGGAAAAACCCCTTTTTGAAATGACAAATTGAATATATATGTTAATGGTTTTACAATACCATCAATAACTGTTTTTACTGTTCCCGTATCAATATCATTCCAATCTGTGCTGGTTTTGTTCTCAAGTCCTCTCACTATGTCATAGATCTCTTTCTCTTCCACTGCTCTCAAAAACATTGAGCTTCTATTCCTTTCAATATTTTCACCAGTGTCCCTTTCTATTCCATCAACCTTTATTTCTTCTGCCAGTTTTGGCCCTATGTTTACAAAGAATTCATTATTTAAAACCATTGTATCTATTTTTATTGAGAATTTACATGCAAACATTTACTGTATGTCTTTTATGTGGTGCGATTCAACCTCCAACTGCTAGGCGGCAGCATTTTCTACCGTCTTCTCTTTAACTGAATAATTAAATCTCATGATAACACTGGATGTGTTTTTGAAGCGTCTGGGCTGAGTTTTACAATTAAATTCAGTCTTAAAACTTGCAAATATTGTCTGGTTTTAGTATCACAATAAATCATATTGTCTCTCCTTTATTGCTATAGAAATCGTATCCCCAGATTCTTGACAGCACACACCTCTATTGGAGAGGATTTCTTCTTTACTCAAGCAAAACTTCTTCTGATTAAATAAACTAAATAAAAACGTGATCATCAAAAGCAACACAGCTGAAGTCATTTCACTTAGCCAGCCAAATACATTTTACCACCAACAGACCAAGAGAGCAACTTTGGTGACAAACTTTATAAAACAAGCATGTCATGATTCCAGTTAACTCAATGAAAGCGTCTGTGGTTTCAGGCCCATGCCAGCCTGCGAGGCTCGGTGGAGCCGTAATGGAAACCACAGACAGACTAGCAGATTGCCTGGACATGAGGATGACAGGCTTAGCAAATAGCAAAACTAAAATGCTCTGAATGGTGGCCGAACTAAGTGCTGTGTTTCTGTGCCTTGCGTCGCTCTTTGAAACTTTGCTCTTTGGGCACTAAAAAGACCAGCAAAAGTCATTACAGGCCTCTGATTTTAACTGCACTTTTGAGTCATAACAAATATTGCACTGGAAAAAGGACACTGGCAACTTCTTCATGATAAACCCTCGCAGTCAGAGATTTTTAGAGTCTGACAAGTAGGGTTATTAGGAAGGGCATGGGTTGGTTCAGCTGTCCGTTTAACATACTCTAGATAAGAAAAGCACACCTGATATTTTTGATGTTTGACTTTGCATTAGTGACACTAGTAGCTGCATCATAAAAAACACATGTGCATCAGCACATCAGGAGGCAACTACAACAAAGGTTCACCTCATGCACAATCAGGAGCGTTCTTGTTTTTTGAACTAAATGAGGTTTCCAAATAAGGGCTGTTACCCTGAGAGACTAAATTCATTTATAGATCTCAAGTTCATTGACTGTGTAAACCACGAAGAGAGATAATGACATGATTAATAAAAGCAAAAATGGATTTACGACATAGTTCTTGGATTGGAACAAAATTGGTTGTTAAAATAATGATTTTATTTCCAAAAATCGTGTTATTTTTGTTTGATTTCTGTGTCTGCCTTGTATTTTAATTCAACACAGATTGCTATTGTAATATGTAGCTGGAGAGAGTTTGCCGGACATATCGTGGCAACAGATTGACTATGACCGATATATCAGGCTGATATACTTTATATCAGTTGTTATATTCTAGCATTGGACCAACACATCCCTTTAGTTTAAAGTCAGGCACATCCACGAACAGCCTGGTACTTTTGCCAAATTTTATTTGAATGTATATTCACATTCCTGAAAAATATCTGCTTATAAATGCTCCAAAACTTCATTGTCAGCTGGCATTTCTTTTATTCTCCTGTTGGTCAGTTTATTGGTTTAATGGATTAACTTTGATGAAATTATTTTAATTCTGAGCTGTGCACAAAATTAAGACTCGACAGTTGGTTAGATTAAGTGTTCAATAAGTTCAGAAATTACATTTTAGCATTTTGGACGCTACAGTTTAAACTATGGAAGAGTTATAGGCTATGAAAAGTTGGCAGCACATATTGGCCATTGGCTGACAATGACCTCTACATATGGACAGAAAAAAAAACATATTGGTCCATCTCCGAAAGTCACCAAACAAATGATTACTAATCAAAAAGATCCAGACTGGTCGTTTCCCTATAAACCAATGTGCAGGCTGCAGTTAGGATGCTTTATTCATAACAACGGTTATTATTCGTAAAGCAAGACTGAATCTCTCCAATAGCTGCTGGAGATTAGAACCAAAGGAGGAACCTCCATAGCAACCATCACTCACAACTTAAGTGCAAGGTGATGGAACCCAGTGGAGATTTAATTGGTTTATTAATTGAGGGAAAAAAACACCCATTCACGGTCAGTGACCATAAGTCTGCCGTCACAATCCCTGTGCTTTCATCTGTAGCGGTTTGGGAGGTGTTCAACTTGAAGGGCTGCAGCAGGACAATAACCTGCAGGCTGGACACTTCCACAGGAATTTCTCTGTCTCAAGGGGGCTTTAATCAGAAGCGACAAAACAGCCACTTCCATTTAGGCAACCCCTCAAAGTAAATGCACGAGGCTGTTGCATGAGAATATGGGAATGGAGTGTGCTGGTGTTTGGTTCAGAAATGCAACATGTGTCGTAAACCCTGTTACACTGTAACATTGCATCGAGTTTTTAAACTTTTGAGAGTTTAAATAAAAGTTTGCATGAAATTAATAGAAATTGAATGTGAAATCTGAGCATGACAGAGCCTCTCGTCTGCAGCAGAAAACATTTAAACCCAAACACCAAACGCATCCACTGCGCCTGGATGAATGGAAACTGTTGCGCTGACATGATCGATACTCACCTTCATCTGCTCCTCTCTGGGTTTTGCCATGCAATTATTTTAGCCGAGTTTTAAGAAATCCAAAAGCTCATCAGTTGAAGCACAAAGAGAAAGTTACATCCATCTCAGAAAAGAAGGGAAAAGCGTGTCTTCTTTTGGAGAAAGTCTCCTCTGCGGCGCGCAAAATCGAGTCTTTGCGCAATTCTAGTACAGTTTTATCAGCCGAAAAGTTGTGGTGAAAGTTTCCTCCTATAGTGTTCCTCCTCCTATAGTGAACCTATTTTCAGCACACGCGCGCACACACACGGCTGCTGCTGCTTCTACTCCAAGACCAAACGTTGTGGGGGCCGAGCAGTGGACGTCCGTCTCCAAAATCTGATTTATTCAACACGTGACCGGCTGCAGACTCCTGCTCCTCTTCTCTTTACCGTTCGCTGCTGCTGTGATTACCTCAAGGAGTCACAGCGAGGATGCAGCCGAGGTTAGAGCTAATCTCTGGTGCCACCATCCTATCTAAAAGGGAACTGTAGAAGAAAAAAATCTGCACCATTATATCCTAATTATGCTTCCCAATGTTTGATTCAATGGATAAAATTATACAAAATCTGTCTAGAATAAAAAAAATTCTAATGATTTTGATGCGAAATTCCTGCTTACCTTCGTAGCAGTGAAAGGTATCGGTCCCTATAAAGTTTTCTCTATTTTTGTTTAGAGGTCCAACAAATTTTAATGTCATGATGAACATTAATAAAATGCTGTTCTTTAATCTATGCTTTTATCTATTAACAGAAAAAAGTATTCCAAACCAACCAGTGTGAAACAGCAGATACCTTCCCTTGTTACATCAGGGTTTAATCAGGATATAGGGAATTTCATAAAGCTTCTAGCTACACACAGGTCTGATTACTGCCAGATTTTTAGAAATAAGAAATAATTTATTAATGAACCCATTTGACAACCTGAATCAGGCTAAGCAACAGGGATGTCTCTAGTATTGAAAAACAAGGGGGGGTTAACCACCAGGGTTGTAAGGAACCGAGGGCTGAAAAGTTTTAACCAAACCTGAACAGGCTTAACAGCCAGTAAATAACCTTCAATCAATCAATCAATCAAATTTTATTTGTATAGCACCTTCTACAACATTATCCGAAGCCCAAGGTGCTGAACAACATCATTGAAAGAAAAACATTCTCAATACATGGGCATAAAAGCACGATAAAAACATAAAATCATAAAATAGCAAGCAAACAGCATTACAGATAAGAGATATTGGAATAAGACCAATCGATTAAAAAAACAAATGTCAGACAAAATAAAATCAAGCATCCGGTATAAAAAGAAGAATAGTTAAAACCATAATGTTAGGGCAATTCAAGTGACCCTAGCGCTGAAACGCAATCAGATAAAAATGAGTCTTTAAACGAGACTTAAAAACTTGAAGGGATGGAGCCTGTGTAATGCTCAGTGGCAATTCGTTCCACAGAGTTGGAGCCAAAATAGAAAAAGCACGACTACCCCTCGATCGAAACTTCGACCGGGGGACCACCAGAAGTTCTTGCTCGGCTGAGCGAAGAGCCCGAGATGGAGCATACCTGTTCAAAAGCGCAATAATATACGAGGGGGCACTGCCCTGGAGGGCCTTATAAACGAGAGTTAAGATTTTAAACTGAGCTCGATATTTTACCGGGAGCCAGTGCAGAGCAGCCAGCACTGGGGTAATGTGCTCTCGACATCTAGTGCCTGTCAGGAACCTAGCCACAGAGTTCTGCACAAACTGGAGCCGTGCAACCGTGCACTGGGCCAGACCAGCATACAGAGCGTTGCAGTAGTCCAGCCGAGACAGGACAAAGGCATGCAACACAGACTCCAGATGAGCTCTGGACAGCAGAGGCCTGATCCTGGATAGTCTTTTCAGGTTAAAGAAACAGGACCTCACCACTGTATTTACATGAGTGTCAAGATTAAGTGCTGAGTCGATTTTAATCCCCAAATTACTGACCATTTTCTTTTCATAGGGTGTCAATGGGCCAAGGTCAATAACAGCACCAGAGCCATTTCTTCTGCCAGGACTAAGTATTATAACTTCCGTTTTGCTCTCATTTAGGTGTAAAAAACTAGAAGCCATCCAGCATTTTATGTCCTTCAAGCAATCCAGTAAAGGAGAAACAGATCTATCCTCCCCACGTTGAAGAGGGAGATAGATCTGGCAGTCATCATCAAAGAAATGAAATTTCATATTATGCTGGCGAAGGAGGACTCCAAGAGGAAGCAAATAAACTGCAAATAGGAGAGGACCAAGGACAGAGCCCTGTGGCACACCCCAACGAAGTTTCACGCTGGGTGACGTTACCTCACCCATCTGAACACTAAATGTCCTGTCTTGAGGATAAGAGCGAAGCCATTGGAGGGCCTGCCCAGTTATCCCCACCCAATGCTGTAGTCGGTCCGGAAGGACTTCGTGGTCAACTGTATCAAAAGCTGCAGATAAGTCAAGCAATAGCAGAACAACATCATTGTCCATGTCACAGGCTAAAAACGTGTCATTAAAAACCATTAAAAGAGCAGATTCAGTGCTGTGACCTTTCCTGAACCCTGACTGAAAGGTTCCCCATAAATCATTTGTGTCCAAAAAGGCAACCAATTGTGAATACACAACCTTCTCCAGCAGTTTGGAAAGAAAAGGGAGTTTTGAGATGGGCCTGTAATTAGCTAAGGTTGTCACATCCAGCCCTGGTTTTTTTTAACATGGGATGAATAACAGCCTTCTTAAACGAGGACGGAACCATACCAGAAGTAAGACTGCCATTTATGATTGCCAACAGCAAAGGGCCTATCACTGGAAAGAGTTCTTTATAAATTCTAGGGGGCAGCACATCACAAGGAGAGCCAGAAGGTTTGAGCTGAGCGACCAGTTTTTCCAAGTCTGATAATGTAACAGTCTCAAATGTTTCCAGTGTAGCCTGGAGCGGCTCTGGGAGTAGAGAGTCAGATGGTGAGTTTGTAATGGCAGCTCGAATAGATGTAACCTTATCAACAAAAAAGTGAAGAAAGTCATTACAAGTTTCAACTGTGGGAGGCAAAGCGCTAGAATCAGAGAACTCAAGTAGCGAATTTACTACGGAGAAAAGAGTGCATGGATCATGAGAATTTTTTTCCACGATATCAGCAAAGAACTTCACCCTTGCTTCCTTAAGAGTTTGCTGGTAGCTAAACAAAGATTCTCTGAATATCTCACGAGAGACTTGGAGTCTGTCTTTCTTCCATTTCCTTTCTGCCCTCCTACAGGATTGCCTGCAGGCCCGAACATCATCAGAGAGCCATGGTTCTGGCCTAGGCCTCTTCTTTCTAATCCTAAGAGGTGCAATTTTATCCAAAATGTTTTTACAAATACTGTCAAATTGGAGTGTAAGCTCCTCTGCATTAAGTGATAAATAATAAAATAATGATAACTAGACTATTTTTATTTAAATTCATAGACTTGGTTCCAGTTGTCAAGTGCCGACTCACACTCATTCACTAGTAAACGGGGCGACGGTGGCACAGGAGTTAAGTGCTCGCCCCGTAATCGGAAGGTTGCAGGTTCAAGCCCCGCTCAGTCTGTCGCTGTGTCCTTGGGCAAGACACTTAACCCACGTTGCCTGCTGGTGGTGGTCGGAGGGACTGGTGGTGCCAGTGCTCGGCAGCCTCGCCTCTGTCAGTGCGCCCCAGGGCAGATGGCTACATCGTAGCTCATCCCCACCAGTGTGTGAATGTGTGTATGAATGGGTGAATGACTGATTGTGTTGTACAGCGCCTTGAGGGGTTCCATTACTCTAGAAGGTGCTAAATCAAGTACAGGCCATTTATCATTTAAAGAACACGTCACAATGATATGTGTTTAAATGTTTATTGATGAGATGAATGGGTGTGGGTGATGACCAAGCCCCCACAATGCGGCTCTAAAATTGAGTCAAACCCGGAAGTACCAAAAATTGCAGTTCCGCCCTCATCCGCTGGGGGCTGGTGTCAGAAGCGAGCAAATCCTCATTGACTCCCATGTTAAAAATACCAATTTCACAGCAGAAATAAACATGTTTACAGCCTGGTACCAAAACATGTTTTTTGTTTAAATTGTCTAGTTTGCACTCATGACAACTCTGAGGGGGGTGAATTTTTTTCTCACTCTTCTGTTTAAGTGTATTAAAAGCCTAAAATTCTGTATAATTAATGAGCATCCGACCCACGTGACCACAGAGCTAGCTCCGTGGAAAGGCCTCAGTAGAGCCTCGGTCTGGCTTGGAAACTGCTCCGGCATTTTGAGTCTCTGTGTTTGTGTATTCTTCTTTGGATATTTTTAGTGCAATTGTTGGACAAAATGACTTGCTGTGGCATTAATTGCACTAATAGAGCGTCCAAGGAGTCTCCACTTCATTTTTTTCGGTAAGTAAAATTATATTTATGTATTTTAGGTCACTGCCGAGCTGAGCTTAGATTTTAACATGTACTGTTTAACCATGAAATTTAAATGTAATAGGGTACAATCCAGTGCATTTAACATATTGCTGCACTTTAGAAAATGGGTTGAAATATAACATGTTGGTGGAGCTGGGTTCCGACTATCGGCTTGCGGAGCTCTCGGGAGACCGATGTTTTCCACCCGTTTCTCCCCTGGCTTCGCGGCTTCTGTTTGCTGCGCGGAATGCCGGCTGTTTCTCCCTGCAGCTCGGCTCATTTCTGTCTGATCACAGCTTTTGTTTGATGCGCCGGGCTGCCAGCTGGGTCTCCCGGCAGCTCGGCACGTCTCTGTCTGATCGCGGCTTCTGTCTGCTGCACGGATTGCCGGCTTGTGGAGCTCTGGGATGGAAACCCTTCCACCCGGTTCTCCCCAGCGGCAGCTTAGCGCATCTCAGATCGCAGTGGCGCTTGTCTGCTGTGTGGCTGCCAGCTTGTGGAGGTCTCGGAGACCTCTGTGTTCCACCCGGTTTTACCCAGTGGTCAGCCCGGCGTATCTCCGACTCAGAAGCTCTGGTGTTGTGCACAGTTAATTCCGGTTGTAGCTAGGTTGCTACCTCCGTTAGCTTAGCTCCCACCTCCGCGTTAGCTTTGGGTTAGCTTCAGGTTAGCTTGTAGCTAGTTCGACCGGGTGTCGTCAGTTGATCCCAGCCTTACAGCCCCACCCTCATCTCCTCCTCTCCTCTTCTTGACCATTAATCGGATGATTGCAGGTTTGATCCTTACTCTGACCAACGCTGCTGTTGTGTCCTTGGGCAAGACACTTAACCCGCTTGCCTGCTGGTGGTGGTCAGAGGGACCGGGGGAGCCAGTGTACGGCAGGCCTCGCCTCTGTCAGTGCGCCCCAGGGAAGCTGTGGCTACATTG